CATAAACATAAATCATCAAACAAATACACTAATCATCAAACAAATACATAATAGGTATGCAATAATTGTCAAACTGATATATATACTATTTTTTTTTTCATAAACACAAATTATCAGACAAATACACAACAGATACTCAATAAATATGTACGTGTTTATATAGATACACAACGTATCATATACGACGAACAACATATTCAATCATTCAGATACATTATATAAATATATACCTCATTATCGAATGTCTGATCCAAGACAATCGAAGATCCAATATGCCATTCATCTATATCATTGCAATGGACGATTTTAAAAAAGTGCCTTCTAATCCTCCATCATCATCATTGTCGATTACGTTGTCATCATTGAGATCATCAAGGTCGTATTCAAGCTCTTTCCAACTTCTTCTAATATTATTTGATTAATTTTCACATCCTTGGTGAACAAACTATCAAATGAAGAAGATAAAAGGGTTTGATCATCAGTGTTGGACTTGTGATTATATTTGCTTCAGTTCCACTCTCTCTTCTCCACATCGTCGATGATGAGAGACCAAATTGGATGAGGAAAAAATGTGTAATAAATATATAATAACTGTCAAACTCCACTAACACATGGTCCGCATCCAAAATTTTTATAAATAAGAAAGATCTTTTTATCTATACTACTAATAAAAGTAATTTAACATGAAAAATTTTTGATTCACAATTTTACCTTTGAAAAAAATTGTAAAGGTCACTCTATCATTTTATAATTAAATATCTAATAATTAAAATATCATCATATCCTTCTATATTTAAAATTTTANCAACTCCACTAACACATGGTCCGCATCCAAAATTTTTAAAAATAAGAAAGATCTTTTTATCTATACTACTAATAAAAATAATTTAACATGAAAAACTTTTGATTCACAATTTTACCTTTGAAAAAAATTGTAAAGGTCACTCTATCATTTCATAATTAAATATCTAATAATTAAAATATCATCATATCCTTCTATATTTAAAATTTTAATTTACTTCTAACATCTCTTTTAGCGATTTATTCTCCATGTATAAATATTAATTTCTATAAAAAAATTTGATTGGCTATATTACCCTTAAAAGATATAAGCACCATTAAAATTTTCAATAAAGTATTCAAAACTCTTCAAAAATTCTGTCAAACTAATATCACTCATTTCATATGTAAAAATAACATTGTACACATACACACACATATTCTAATTTTACCGAAAAGTTTAACCTTTTCTTTTTNTTTGATTGACTATATTACCCTTAAAAGATATGAGCACCATTAAAATTTTCAATAAAGTATTCAAAACTCTTCAAAAATTCTGTCAAACTAATATCACTCATTTCATATGTAAAAATAACATTGTACACATACACACACATATTCTAATTTTACCGAAAAGTTTAACCTTTTCTTTTTTAAGACAAAAATAATCATATAAATAATTTTTTTAAATTAATTTATATCACATCTGTATAATTCTTCAATTATAATAAAATTTTCAAGTTGTGTTAAGATTTTATGTCAAAATAAATTGTAATCGATTTTTAATATGCTTTATAATATATACTATAAAATAGTATATTAAATTTTATCTAAATATATTTGACTAATTTCTAATTACAGTAATGTTCGAAATATTATTAGTATATATTCATAATTATTTTTATTTTATTCAATGAATTATAAGTGAAATTCTAATTAAATGAACTTCAAAAAAAATTATTTTTCAAATATAACTTCAAATCACTCTTAATCACAAAATTCTTAAATTTAATCTTTTTTCTTATAATTAGAANCTTTATAATATATACTATAAAATAGTATATTAAATTTTATCTAAATATATTTGACTAATTTCTAATTACAGTAATGTTCCAAATATTATTAGTATATATTCATAATTATTTTTATTTTATTCAATGAATTATAAGTGAAATTCTAATTAAATGAACTTCAAAAAAAATTATTTTTCAAATATAACTTCAAATCACTCTTAATCACAAAATTCTTAAATTTAATATTTTTTCTTATAATTAGAACAATAAATTTTAAGAACATACAAAGTTTTCCTAATTTTATAATAAAGTATGAGCAATGAAAAAATAAGTTTGTTAATTTAAGTACACATATAGCTAACACTTTTTATTAAATTTTGTGTACGAAAACTATCTATATAATAAAGTAACTTACAATTCAAATCTCAAAAGATAAATTAAATGACTTTTGCTATTCGCGGTTGAGATCGTTTTAAATTTTACCTTAAAGTTAATCTAACGGTAAATATTAACACCCTAAATTTAATAGAAAAAATAAGCCCCTAATAGTGTGTTTGGAGTGACTTTTTAAAAGTACTTTTAAAAATTATTTTTCATAAATAGTTTAAAAAAAATAGTGTTTGAAATTGTCGCACCACTACCTCTATCATCACCACTGCTGTCTACCATCACCGTTGTTGCCACCACCACCACCATGCCGTCGTCGTTGCTGCCACCACCACTGCCGCCCCCCCCCCCCCACCCNAATTTTGTGTACGAAAACTATCTATATAATAAAGTAGCTTACAATTTAAATCTCAAAAGATAAATTAAATGACTTTTGCTATTCGCGGTTGAGATCGTTTTAAATTTTACTTTAAAGTTAATCNCTACCACTATCGCCACCATCATAACCATCGTCATCTCTTATCATCACCATTGTCGCCCGTCATCTCTCACAATCATTACAATCGATACTTAAATTTATTTATCTCTCCTATATGTTTGTGATTTAAATACAAATATGTTTATTATTTACCGTTTTTTATTATTCTGTACATTCAGGCACAGATAATAACTAGTTTACGTATAAATATATTACTAATATATATTAAAAATTCACTAGGCCTAAACCTAATTACACACCAAATGAGGAACTTTAACGGAATTTACTAAAATTTGATGGCATGTGGGTTGCCCGCGGGTGTACCCAACAAACTCCTGTTTTGGAGTTTTGACTGGACCAGATTATCGGGCCTAGGGCCGAAACCACAAGCTAGCTAATCATTCTTGTTTATATACGATTTTCGTTGTTTATGTTGATAAGTTGGATCGCCTTTTTTGTCGATTCCTATATGAAATTTTTGTAGATAAGTCTCTAGGTATTCTTTGATAATTTCATAGTTTTTAATGGGTGGGTAGGGTCTAGGTTACAGGGCTTGGCCCCACAGGCGGAGGGAGGTAGGGCCAGAACGTGCCCTCCTCAATTTTTTTTTTTTTTTTGTTATATATATGTATTATATATTTATACATATAATTATGTATGCCCTCTCATTTATTTTAGGTCAACATTATTTATTCAAAATAATTAAAAAAATTAAGTCTATTTAAAACAAAAAAAATTAAACTCACTATTATCTATTAAAATTTANAATTTAACGGAATTTACAAGGCTTGGCCCCACAGGCGGAGGGAGGTAGGGCCAGAACGTGCCCCCCTCAATTTTTTCTTTTTTTTGTTATGTATATGTATTATATATTTATACATATAATTATGTATGCCCTCTCATTTATTTTAGGTCAACATTATTTACTCAAAATAATTAAAAAAATTAAGTCCATTTAAAACAAAAAAAATTAAACTCACTATTATCTATTAAAATTTATTAAAAAATTAAATATTTGACCTATCACAATCCTTTCAAACTTATTAAAAAAAAAAACTTTTATCCCAACATTAAAAAAAAAAAATTTGGCCCAACATTAAAAACAAAATTTTAAAAGATTTTATATTTTATTGAAATATATAATTAGGTTAAAATGTACTAAAAAAATTATTTTATGTCTTTTTGTTAAGATTTTGTTTCGCCTAAATAAAAATTAAATTTACTATTTCACAATAATTTAGTGTTGATTCTTACTTTTTCTTTATTCTTGAACTGAATTTTTTTGTATTAATTTTGGCTTAATATTTTTTTNTGTTTCGCCTAAATAAAAATTAAATTTACTATTTCACAATAATTTAGTGTTGATTCTTACTTTTTCTTTATTCTTGAACTGAATTTTTTTGTATTAATTTTTGCTTAATATTTTTTATACCAGTTATATTTTACCTTTATCATAGATATTCATGATTTCGTCCTTAACAATATATATATGTTTTTTTAAAATTTTTTATGTTAAATGCACTTCATATATCAAATATAATGTAATAAATATAAATATATTATATAATGTGATTGGCTAGAAGGAAAAAAATTAGAGTGCATAATTAAAGTGTCCACTCTAAACAAAATTTATGGCTCCGGCGCTGCTTTGCCCGTGGTGCTATCATAAGTGATAAAAGTCATTGAGATCTTAGTTTTTTTTTATCATAAGCTCTCCTCGCTTTAAATCTTTCTGAAAGTTGTCTTTACAGCTCCTTGACTATTGTGGACTACATTTTAAGAGTAAAAATTTTCTTCTGAGATAATATAATTTTAATTGTTATATTTTTATAACGATTTCAATAAACACATAATTGAATGTAAAGAATTTTTTCGGTTTAAAAAAAATTTAAGAATTTAAGGAAAATAAAAAAAGAATGGCATAGAGCAAGGCCAAGGCGAAGAGAATCGTTAATTTGATTTCCCATAGCCATCCATAATTTGCACCTTCAAAATTCTAATTTTTAGTTTTAATTTACCTTGCAACTTAATTCGATTTTCCTAAATTTTTAAGTTGACGATGTACACCAAAACAAATTGTGCAAATTAAATACATTTCAAAATTTGGGGGAAAATGTAAATAACTATAAGTTTTGGGGTTAAAGTGAAAGTTTTACACAATTTTAGTGGCCAACGCATGCTTAATTCATGTTAGGACCCAATCAAATTTGGGTTACTTGTGGGTTAAGCCACCCTCCCATCTTTTTGTCTCTCATCCTTTCCCTTTTAATTAGTCAATTAATCTCTGATAAATTTATTTCCATATTCTCTCAATCAATCCCTTCTAAAACTTGAGCTGCACACCAATTCCCACACACAAAAGAAATTTTCCCAAAACCTTCGTGAGCTATCAAAAATGGTGAGCCTCTCTCTCTCTCTAAGTCTCTGTGTACACTTTCATCTCTGAATTGCCTGTGTTGAATTCGATCTTAGAGATGAGTTTCTTCCAAGGATTGATCGAATCTTTAGGGTCTCTTTTCACCGATTCTTCTTCTTCTGCGTTTGATTCTCGGAAAAATTCTGAAAATCAAGCAATGGAAGGTGTGGCTACTGGGAATGAACGGACAGCGGTTAAGCTGAAAGGGTACTTCGATTTGGCCAAAGAAGAGATCGCCAAGGCCGTTAGGGCTGAAGAATGGGGTTTGGTTGATGATGCTATTTTGCATTACCAGAACGCCCAGCGGATATTGGTCGAAGCTGCTTCAACGCCTGTTCCATCCCACATCAGCTTTAGGTACGGGAATTTTCATTAATTTGATACTTTATATACGTATATATGAATTCTGAATCACTGTAGTTGCTGAAGCTTATGTTATTCGATGGTGATTGCCTAAACTAGAACTTTGGTGTTGCGTTGCCCTAAACCTCCACAAGTCCTCGGGCTTTTGGATCAACGATTGAATTCATAACATTTGGTATTGTAACAGATACCATGTCATGAGTTCGAGTTATGGATGGGACGACCTATACGCTGGATTAAAATGTCTATGGGTATAGTTCTATTGCGTTGAAGAGGAACTGCTACAGGGAAAGTGCTATAAGGCAATGTACATCGGCTTTGAGTATGCGTTCAAATAGTTATGAGCTCTGACCCCCTCTTGGGACTTTTGGATCAANACGTTGCCCTAAACCTCCACAAGTCCTCGGACTTTTGGATCAACGATTGAATTCATAACATTTGGTATTGTAACAGATACCATGTCATGAGTTCGATTTATGGATGGGACGACCTATACGCTGGATTAAAATGTCTATGGGTATAGTTCTATTGCGTTGAAGAGGAACTGCTACAGGGAAAGTGCTATCAGGCCAATGTACATCGGCTTTGAGTATGCGTTCAAATAGTTATGAGCTCTGACCCCCTCTTGGGACTTTTGGATCAACGCTTGGGTTCATAATTTGCATAAAATTTTGATTATGCTCATTTATGTTCTGACGGAGTTCCAGTCAAGTCGTAGTTTGATTATTTGAGTTGAGGCATGTTTGGGGTGTGTAATGCCATTTTTTGTGTTGAGTTTAGATGAATTTGTTGGAGAACTTTTTATTCTGCAGAAAGTAGCTACACATAAGGGTTTAGTTTTTTTTTTTGAATGCGAGGGTGTGTAAAAGGCATAACCATGATGGGTGAAATTATGTTTGGCCAATAATGTTTTCAGTCGGATTTGAATCTCCATCATATGGGGTCTTCGTAATATCACTTTTGTATTTTATTGTTTTCAAATTGTGGATATGGATTCAAATCACCAAATATAATCAGTTTCGTAATTGGATTGTAACTGACTCAGATTCAGGTCAATGTTAGATTCTAATCCTTCCCATCAACAGCTTTAAAGAGTTGGCAGAAGAAAACTGAAATATTTTAAAAGACAGTTATGCAAGGTTAACTTTTCTACTAGTCATATTATATGGGGCTTGAAATGAGCTCTTGGCATTGTAGTTTCTTTCTCCTTCATTTTCTTTGTGTTGTGGATTAGACATAGTAGCATCATGTTTTTCGATTAATCACATGGAGCATAAAGTAATCTCGTTGCATCTCTTCCTTCTGCCTTTATGGGTTTTGAACAGTGAACAAGGGAAGGTGAAATCTTATCAGCAGAAGATATCAAAATGGCAGGGCCAAGTTTCTGAGAGGCTACAAACTTTGAGCCGGAGAGCAGGTTCCTAAATGTCTTGCTTGTTTGTCCTTGCTGCTGTAAATGTATTTTTCCATAGATATTGATGATAGGAGAGTGCTTAGAATTCCTGTTGTTTCATTTTTTCACTCTTTTATCTCAGGTAGCAGATACACAAACAAGGTATGGACTGCTATGACTAAAGTGTAAGTCTATATCATTTGTTTTTGTGCTGGGAACATCATATATATGCATTTGAAGCCAATGGTTCTAATCATGTCTTTTGACGGAATGGCTATTGTCTCAAGTTTATTAGAGAGCATCACGATTTCCAAAGTTATACCTAGGCTTAATTGCACTGTACTTAAATGCTTTTCTATTTCTAAGACCGACCATCTTTGGTCATTTAGTTGATGAACATTGCTCAAACTTTTAGTGGGATACTTGTCATTAAGTCTAGCAAACCTCTCTTCTCTTTATCACTTACTTAGATAGTCATCCAATCAAGTGAGCTTTTCCCCTCCACTTAAGCATCCTTATAGCTGGAGCTGCTCTTTGCTTCCACTGCTTACTGGCATTTCATGATCCATTACATTAAAACATACAACTTGATGCCACTCCACAGTTGTGAAGATTTCATTGTCCAGAATTGGTTTCCTTCAATAGGATTATGTGCTGTTAGAAGTAAAGTTCACAACTAAGGTAACCTGAGGTTGGCTTAAACCTAAAAGTTTATTCTGATACTTATACTTAAGATGAGATAATTAGTGTTGTAGTGATAAGTGTAATTTGATCATGTTAGACCTAGCTTGCTTAATTTGATAGCCTATGAGAAAGGATGTCCACACGTCACAACATTGTTCTCCTATTGTGATTTTCCCCTCTCTCTTTGCTTTAAGGTGGCTTTTGATGAAGGTAATAAATTATAATGTACTTCGGACTACTGAACACCTGCCCCTTGGTCTCTTCTTNTGTTTGTCCTTGCTGCTGTAAATGTATTTTTCCATAGATATTGATGATAGGAGAGTGCTTAGAATTCCTGTTGTTTCATTTTTTCACTCTTTTATCTCAGGTAGCACATACACAAACAAGGTATGGACTGCTATGACTAAAGTGTAAGTCTATATCATTTGTTTTTGTGCTGGGAACATCATATATATGCATTTGAAGCCAATGGTTCTAATCATGTCTTTTGACGGAATGGCTATTGTCTCAAGTTTATTAGAGAGCATCACGATTTCCAAAGTTATACCTAGGCTTGATTGCACTGTACTTAAATGCTTTTCTATTTCTAAGACCGACCATCTTTGGTCATTTAGTTGATGAACATTGCTCAAACTTATAGTGGGATACTTGTCATTAAGTCTAGCAAACCTCTCTTCTCTTTATCACTTACTTAGATAGTCATCCAATCAAGTGAGCTTTTCCCCTCCACTTAAGCATCCTTATAGCTGGAGCTGCTCTTTGCTTCCACTGCTTACTGGCATTTCATGATCCATTACATTAAAACATACAACTTGATGCCACTCCACAGTTGTGAAGATTTCATTGTCCAGAATTGGTTTCCTTCAATAGGATTATGTGCTGTTAGAAGTAAAGTTCACAACTAAGGTAACCTGAGGTTGGCTTAAACCTAAAAGTTTATTCTGATACTTATACTTAAGATGAGATAATTAGTGTTGTAGTGATAAGTGTAATTTGATCATGTTAGACCTAGCTTGCTTAATTTGATAGCCTATGAGAAAGGATGTCCACACGTCACAACATTGTTCTCCTATTGTGATTTTCCCCTCTCTCTTTGCTTTAAGGTGGCTTTTGATGAAGGTAATAAATTATAATGTACTTCGGACTACTGAACACCTGCCCCTTGGTCTCTTCTTTAAATCTTTTGAGCATAACAATTATTTTGTGTTAGTACTCTGTTCCTGTAATACATTTCAGTATGTTGTTTACAGAAAACCTTACCTCAGGCACAACCTGCAGCAGTTTCATCAACGACGTCTGGTGCTAGAAAGGAGGCATTACAAAAGTCTTCAGGTCTCAGCGGACACAGTAATGCTGTGATGAATACAAGTAGTAAAATTGTAAGCTCAAAACCTATACAAGAATCTGGTGGTTATGATGCAAAATTGGTTGAGATGATAAACTCTGTGATTGTGGACAGAAGTCCTTCAGTTAAATGGGAAGATATCGGTAGGGACTACAATACTTCTTCTTCTTCTTCTTCTTATTATTATTATTATTATTAATCAGAGTACACTCTTTGGCCTTGCCATTTTTGCTTCTCTTTATCTCATCAGAGTTTGTTTGCAGCTGGCCTTTACAAGGCCAAACAAGCTTTGTTGGAAATGGCAATACTACCAACTAAAAGAAGAGATCTATTTACTGGTCTACGGAGGCCAGCCAGAGGTAGCTTTTTGAAGAATTTTTCTTTCACATGTATGGTATTGTAGCACTGAATTATTTTGTGGAAAAGATTGATTTCTATTTTTCAGGTCTTCTTCTGTTTGGACCACCTGGTACTGGGAAGACCATGCTTGCCAAAGCAGTTGCTTCAGAGGCACAGGCAACGTTTTTCAATATTTCTGCTTCTTCCCTAACATCGAAGTTTGTATGCCTCCTTCCTTAAGTCTGTCTTTTGCTCTTGTTCTGGTAGCAGTATTTATTTTCCATTTACCCTTTACGACTGGAGTTCTTACTTGTTTCATGTGAAATTAAAGGTGGGAGAGGGCGAAAAGCTTGTCCGGACTCTTTTCATGGTTGCTATTTCCAGGCAGCCATCTGTAATATTTATGGATGAGGTATATTAGTCTTGGCGAATGTCATTGTCAAGGTTACCAGAAGCCTTGCTTCTGTTTTAAGTATTGGTTCTGCTATCAAATTTGCTATGCTTGCATGTAAAGTAGGACTTTTGTCAACTAGGTGCATGTTCGAACTTTTGTTTATGTTGGAGTTGTTTCATTTGTTTTATGCTGCTTGAGGTGACAGCTTATGTTTCTACTCAGATTTTTTTTTTTTTTTTTTTTTT